AGACGCAGACACACACCTCGCACCATGTGACGGCGGTCAGGTAAGCCCCACAAAAGCACACAAAGCAGATCTACCAGAACCATCCAACAGCGGAGCTCCAGCTGTGGCCACTGTAGCTCTGTGGTCTCCTTCCATGTACTCCAAGTGGTCAAAACTCTCTTCTTATCGTCCAACACACATTCATTATTATCCCGTTATCTTTATGGCTTGGGGGGGACTCGGTTGTCCGGCTATTTGTGGCCCTGCCAGCTGAGTATTTAGCCAGAGATAAACCCTCCGATCAAGTAATTAATAATAAACTTTCAGTATTTATGGGTCTGTGGGCAGCCTGGGTATCTGGGTGGGTGGATAGAGGGAACACCTTACAATGGGCATTACATGCAGTGTTAGTATGAAGATCAGGGCGTTCATATTTCCTGATAATCTATTAGTAAAATAATGGAATTGATAATGATCGCTAGATTTTGTACCAGCTACACCACCCACAACCTTCTTTTGTAACGCTTTCGTTGAGTGGTAGAGACGCCACTTTGACTTCCACTGGCCGGCAATCGAATCTTAAAATATGTTCGTGTATTTTGTTGCATACTTTTATGGATATATTTGTGGAGAATTTATGTTCATGTAGTATTCATGTAAATTACATGTAAAATTTGAAAATTAGCCAAGTTTTTAACCCAAAATAACCAAAAAAAATGCCAAACGTTTTTTTTTTTTCTTTTTTTATGGTGTACGTTTTTTTTGCAGTATTTTGTTTCTGTTTTTCAACTAAAATTTTTGTAATTTTCATATGGTATTTTTTCAATATTTAATAGGGAAAAAAAACTAAAAATAAGCTTTAATTAAAAGCTCAATTAAAAGCTCTTCTTAAATTTTTACCAGTTAAATATTTAGTTTCGTCTGGTCTATACAAATCCCCCTTAAATTTCTATATATTTCTATATTTCTATCATATACCCCTTGGTCGATCACTCACCTACGTTTCTTGCTTCTATTCGTTTTCTTTAGTTATTTTTTTGTTATATTTTCCGTAACGTTCCGGAGCAAACATTCGTTTTTGTTAAATTTTTGTAATACATAAATAATATTCGTAATTTTTCGATAATGTTCGACTGGACCCTTATATTCTTTCTCTATGCGGCCCTGTCCTTTATCATTCTCCTCATGCCGGTGATCTTTTTGGTGCATCGGAAGATGATCTCACAGATGGTGCTGGAGAACCCAGACGTAGAAGCCCCCATGGGCATTGGACTAAGTAAAGACGAGCTGGAGCAGCTAGGAGAAATTCCCGTAGAGATGAAGATTAAGGTTGATATAGAGCAGGGGATGCAGAATGCTGATGAGGAGATTTCAGAGACTCGAGAAAAGACTCTAGAAGCGAATATAGAGACTCACGAAGAGCAAAAGAATCTTCACAATTTAGAAGAGAAGGAGATGCAATTTCCAGAAGTTCAAGAGATTCCAGAGACTCCAGAAGAGCAGGAGAATCTTCACAATTTAGAAGAGGAGATGCAGATTCCAGAAGGACAGGAGACTCCAGAGACTCTAGAAGAGCAGGCGATTCCAGAGACTCTAGAAGAGCAGACGAATCAGATTCCAAAAGGGAATGAGTTGGAGATTCCGGCAGAGAAGAAGGAGTTGAAGAATCCAGTAGAGAAACAGATTCTGTCTGCTGCGGAGGAGAATATTCAAAATCCTGCAGTAAATTAGATTCCCTAAAGCGGTTGCAATCAATTGGCTGACAACAATCCCTGGCATACGGAAACATTAAATGAATAACATTGTTTTTTGCAGTCTACTATCTTTTGTACTATCCGTTCCCGTTCCTCCCCCCTCTTGTGGGTCTGAGCCGCTTTGTGGCACGCTCCATAACGCAACGCAGCTAAGCCCCCATTCACATTCAAAATGCACAAACTAATGTAAAATCAATAATAATTACGCTTTACGCTTCTGGGCGAAAGGCGGATCGGTTCGGGTTCGGGCCTTTCAGGTCAGACATAGACGCGAGCCGCCGCGACACTTGTTGCATGTCAAGCAGGGAGGAAGCAGCGACTGTGGCAGAGACTGCAACTGCGACTGCGACTGCAACTGCGGAAGTTTTGGCTCGCGAGTGCAGGCAGCGGCGGTTTGTGTGACGTTTGTGTGTCGAGTGGAGATACAAGAAACGAGATACACGATACGCGATACGAGACACCAGTCGCACGTCCAGGGCTTGGTCAAACAGAGGGGACAGACAGAGGAGAAGCCAACGAAGCTGCTGCTGCTGCTGCTGCCCCAAACATGTGCAACGTGCAACGGCAAACAATTAGGGGCGACGTGTGGCAGATGTTTTTCCTTGCCCTTAAAATTGAAAGCAGGACCTCTTAAAAAATCACAAGAGTGGAGAGGGGGGAGAGCCGAGAGTGCGGAGAAGTGGCAACAATGACAAGCGGGTTCTCCTCCAGCTGCTGCGGCTGCTGCTGTTGTTGTTGTGTGGCAGGCAAAACTACCTGCCGCCTGTTGTCCTTGCAACAACAACAACAACAAAAACGCAGAGAGATAAAGCCACGGTGGTGCCAGGTGCAGCTGGAAAACTGGCCAAAAGCAGAGAGAGAGATACACAGATACAGAGAGGGAAAGAGAGATGGAGAGGGAGAGTGAGAGAGAGAGAGGGAATGAGAAGGATGCCCCTTTCAATAGTCATATCCTTCGGCTTGAATCCTGTTTTGGCTGATCCTGTTTTGTAGTCCTCTTTTTGCTCGCTAGGTGCAAATCTGCAGCTGCCACAACTTGTGAAAGAATGTCAGAGAGAGAGAGAGACGCAGGGGGAGGGGAGAGAGATCGATACCCCGTTGCGGGGGAAATGATTTCAAGAGAGGATTTTCGTTTTTCTAGCAGCTATACGAAGCGAATACGTGAATAATGAATTATTCGAGGATCTGAGGATCAGCATGCAAATCGAATTGCCGATTTCATGGCAAATCAACAATGGATGAAACGTATTTGGGTGATTAGAGGTAGAAAATACCGATATATTTCAGATATTTGGGTGAGATATTTTGATGGGAAAGATGATGGAAGAAACCTCCATTTACGCACCATCCAATTTTGATGGTGTAAGCGTTGACAGGCAACAGTTGGACACAATTTTAAGTGCCTCACTCATTAATAAATTCTTGTTTTTTCATGGGTCTAAAATGTGGCTAAGAACCGAAGCAGTGCTGAGCCTTTTGAGGCTTAAAGGCCATACAAAACATAAAAAAATAATCACATAAAATTAAGTAAAGGCTTTGATTTTATTCGCTAAATAGAACAAAAGAACGGAGAACAGAAAAGGCTGCGGTGTTGCACTCTTGTTTTGCGGTTGCTTGTACTTCAATCACCTGTCCACTAGACCTGTGGGAAAAGAGGTGGAAAGGCCAGGTTTTCCGATTAGTTGCGGCTGCTCCTCAATGCTGTGGCTTCCGTTGGCAGCTTCGACGGTGTGGTCCTTCCGGCTGTGGACTTGCAGGCCACCAACTCGTCTGCTCATTCTAGGTCAACTTGGACATTAAATTGGAGCACTCTATTCCTTGTCAAGGCGTCTAAATCCACGACATTTCCATTCCCATTAAAAATTTCAGATATGTGTTGAGATTAAAGTAAGCTTAGAGGATTAATGCAACATAAACATACAAATTTCTGTCCTGTTATGTTTATTTCTTGATATTGTTTATACGGTGAGTGTGAGGGGTGCTACTCTATCAACCCACAATTCCCATCAATCAAGTGTTGATCTGTTAATTTCTCAGCTAAAATTGGGTTGGGGGAAATCTCTCTTGCCCTCTCTCTTGAGAGCTCTCTCCGATTGTTGCTTCAGTGCATTGGCATCCTGTGGGTGTCTCCTTTCTGGCTGCTATCCTGATCAATAAGTTTGTCATCGTTGGCTAATCATTCCTCGTTTCCTTCAATTTTCTCTCTCCATTGTGGCCATATGGCAGTGCTTTCTCTCTCTATCTGTATCTGTATCTCTCCCTCTCCCTCTGTCCTCTGTCTCCTTTCAATAATGGATCCTTTTACGCTTAGGATTTCTTTATTTTTGTCTGAATGTTTTGTCTCTTTTAAGGGTAGCACCAGCAGCACAACAATTGTTCTTTCACGGGTAAACCGAACGACGAATACGAATACGAATGGATTCAAACAAAACAGATGCATTTCGTGTGTCTGTCTGTATCCATCCACCGGTATTGTGTGGGATTCCTATTCGTGTGTGTGTGTGTGTGTGTGTGTGTGTCTGTGTGGGCTGTGCTCTCACGAACACCAAACACATTTAATGAGCCATGCGAAACACGTTTCTGCTTCTGCCAGAGAGTGAGGAGAGAGAGGGAGAGAGAGAGAGGAAGAGAACGTAAAACGCCAACGCCAACGCCAACGCCGACGCTGCGCCTGCGCTTGCGCTTGCGCATGATCCCTCGCTATGTCTCGCACTTTGTCGAGCAGTGGCCGAGCGCTCGGTTTAGTTCAAACGCGAACGCCTTTAAGATCGAACGTGCCCTTGCCACCAGCCCCAGCCCCTGGGCCCCAAGTATCTTCCGTTGGTTTAGCGCTTCCTCCGACACTCGGACAATTTGAATTTGAATATCATTTCGATCGCCACTCGCGTCGTATATTAATTAGAATCGATCCATCGGGGGATCTTGTGACTCTCATTTGTCGTCTCTCTAACTGTTTTTGTTTTTTGGATGTGTGTTTGCTGTGAAAATCGCGGCAGACGACTGCTGCCACCAGCACCAGCACCAGCCAAGGCATAAATATCCCATATATCAGAGTATTCTCTCCACGATACGATGATTATTTGCATATCGGGTTTTATAATTGGCGAAAGGTAGGAACCGCCCCATAGCCCCACACCCATATCTGACCCAGAAAACGAAAGTTCTCTCCCGGACATGCATACCCTATAGATAGTAGATATGGATAGATAACTCTCTCATTTCCTATAGCTAATCCATCTCGCCATTCTGTTTCTGTTCCCCTTGCAGCTTTCCCCAAAAGAGCATTGAACGCAGCGGCTCCACACAGTACGATCTGGCTGGGGCGCCGCCACCCGGCGGCTCCAGCACAGCCTCCACCACCGACAGCGGCAGCGTTGGGGGCTATGTCTACCTGCAGAACCACTATGCGCCCGGCGCCCACAACGCCGCCGCCGCCATCAATTACCCAACGCAGCATCACCATCCCCAGATGATCTACCAGCTCCAGCAGTACCCCACGTGCCATCAGCAGCAGCAGCAGCAACAACAACAGCAGCAGCAGCAGCAGCACCTGCACCAGGCAGCTGCAGGACACTACATGCAGGTGACATCGACGACAGCGGGAGGATCATCGGCCTACCACCACCACCAAATGCTCCACGGGGGACAGCATGGACAGCACCATGCACACCATCACGGCCACGGCGGAGCGGTGGTCATTGCCGGCAGCGGCGTGGGCACTGGCATGGGAGCAGGCACCGTGATCATGCAACATCAGCAGTTGCAACAGATGCATCACCAGCAGCAGCACCAGCACCAGCACCAGCACCAGGGAATGTACAAGAAGAACTCGATCCGCAATGGCGGCGATGTTCTCAAGCGCGGACGGGCACAGTCAGCGTAAGTATTGTCTCCCTTAAAGGGAAAACAAAGTGGGGAAAACCGAGAGAAAACAAAGGAATACTAAGGTGTACTTTTTGGGAGGATAGATATCCATTGCTGGAACCAGTAGACAACAGATGATTAGGTCTTACCTTTCAGTGAAACTTACAGCTTTTAACAGGAACAGGCAGACTGATGTGTTATAGAGAGTATTTATCAGTTGTAGGAACATTCTTCATTGTATCTTAAGTAATATAAACTTAATATTGGACGCAATTAGTCGCAGAGGGAATGAAGTGTAGCTTAGACAAATAGGTACCTCAAACAGAATAACTATAAAATCAAGGAAAGATCAAGCTTAAAGTTCACTTCACCTACGCCAAGGCAAAGCTAATCTGAGAATCATTGTAGCAATCAATATATCCAGCAGAACGGTAGCAAACGGAGCAGCATTCCACCGTATCGAATTATTTATTTATGGGCTCGTGGTGCGGCTTTTAATGAGTTTGGACTTGGGCCCCCACCCCCCAATCAAATGTGGCCAAATGACCAGTTCGCAGCGGGATTCACATTCACTCTAGTATCTAAGATTAGGTACCACCACAAAATAGCAGATAGGAGCCAGTCGAGTGGACAAATATTTGCGTGCGACTGCAGCACACATCATCCGATGATCAAAATAATATAATATGGAGCTGAACAAATATGAAATTCCGCAGAAATCTTAAGGGGGGAATGGTATGGGAATGCAGCAGCTGCTTAGGAAAGGAAGGGAGCTGCTCTCTGCTGACCCCCTCTTTGAACTCTGCTGCTTGCAGTCTGATTAAGTATGTGGCAGCCATTTGGCTGGTCATAAAACCCAAATATTCCCAACAAAAGGCAATATTCATGGGCCTGAGATGCGATTTTTTATCGGGCAACGCAGTGACGATGGCAAAAAAAAAAACAGAAATTTTGTATTCCCAAGATACGACGGCGTCGCTTGTTGCTATCTTATCGCGAGGAGGGGAAAACATTCGGCTCGTGTGTGCCCCCAAGCCACGGCTGGGTAACATTTGATTGCCACTTTTAGAGCGACACAGCAGCGAAACTTGCCCAGAGCCCCAAGATAACTTCCATCTACAATCCATCTACTGCTCTTCTGTTGTTTTTACAGCTACGAACTCTCACAAGATCTGCTGGAGAAGCAGATCGAGCTGCTGGAGCGCAAGTACGGCGGAGTGCGGGCCCGCAACGCGGCGGTGACCATCCAGCGGGCATTCCGCCACTACATGATGGTGAAGAAGTTTGCCTCCATCACGGCCATGGCCAAGGCCGAGAAGCGGCTCAGCCGCCGCATGGTGGTGACATCCTCCAGCCTGGGTCTGGCCGAGGAGAATGCCTCCTCGTCGGCCTACGGCAGTGCCACAGAATCTCAATTGGATCAGCAGCAGCAGCAGCAACAACAACAACAGATGCAGCAACAGCAGCAGCAGCAGCCACGTGTCACCATTATGGCGGGTCCGGCAGGAGCAGCCTCCCCGGGACTCTCGAGGACGCCACCCACTCGTTCTCTTTCGATGCGGGAGCGACGACAGCTGGACTGCAGCCCCATACCAAGGAGTCAATCAGGTACGGAATCAATCTCTCCCTTTTTTGGTAGATCATTTACTTAACCTTAATCCTTTTGTGCTTTGCAGGCGCCTCTCCCGTATCGATTACGGGGTCCACAGCCACCGCCGCTGGACTGGCCTCCCATCCGCATGTGAATCTGCTGCACGCGGCCGAGCCGCATTACTACAATGCCCAGGGAGCCGCCTACTACACCAGCTACCACGGATCGCCGCACGACCTGAGCTACGCCAGCTCCGCGGACGTCTCGCTGAACGCCTCGTGGGTGAACGCCAGCGGCCACAGCCCCCACACGCCCTACTACTCGGCTGCACAGATCTACATGCGCCCCAAGGGCGGCAGCACCACGCCCACACCCAGCTGCAGCGGCAGCACGGGCAGCGGCAGCGGCAGTGGCAGCGGTAGCTGCAAGAAGGTGCCCCCCGAGGTGCCCAAGCGCACCTCCTCCATCACGGCCCAGCAGCAGAGTCAGCTGCTGCTGCTACAGCGGCAGACACCGCCTCCGCCCTCGCTGTTGCGTACCAACGGGCTTTGCAAGACGGCGGAGAACGGCAGCCTGACCTCCGTCCAGAGCTCCGGCTCGGACTCGAGCGTCACTTCGGCGGAGAGGAATATGAACAGCGACCTGGGGTCCGATCGCAGCAACTCCCCGCACACGTGGAAGCGGGGAACGGCTCTGAACAGCTCCCAGCAGTTCTCCACGCACTCGGCCGACTCGGTCTCGGTGCCCGTTGGAGGTGGAAGTGGAGGAGGAGCCGTTGTGGTCTCTGGAGCAGCCATAGCTGCTGCTGGCCCAGGAGCGTATGCCGCACAGATGCAGGCAGCCGTGGCAGCGGCGACAGCGGCGGGCGGACTGCCGCCGGCGGACGATCATGCCATCTCATCGCACACCAGCGCCGCGCAGTACGAGCAGCACGAGCAGCAACAGCACGAGCAGCAGCAGCTGCAGGCAGCGGCCTCCGCAGCCGGCGTGGCCCAGAACTACAAGATGTCGGAGACCATACGGAAGCGGCAGTATCGCGTGGGCCTCAATCTGTTCAACAAGAAGCCGGAGAAGGGTATCACCTATCTGATCCGGAGGGGCTTCCTCGAGAACACGCCGCAGGGCGTGGCCCGGTTCCTGATCACCCGCAAGGGCCTCTCCCGCCAGATGATTGGCGAGTATCTGGGGAATCTGCAGAACCAGTTCAACATGGCCGTACTCAGCTGCTTCGCCATGGAGCTGGACCTGTCCGGCCGCCAGGTGGATGTCGCTCTGCGCAAGTTCCAGGCCTACTTCCGGATGCCCGGCGAAGCGCAGAAGATTGAGCGGCTGATGGAGATCTTCTCGCACCGCTACTGCGAGTGCAATGCGGATATTGTGGGGCGCCTGAGATCATCCGATACGGTATGCATGGAATTCTCCTTCCCTTTGGAGGATCTCCCCCGACTAACCCAATTTCTACTGCTCTTTTTACAGATCTTTGTGCTGGCATTTGCCATCATCATGCTCAATACGGATCTGCACACGCCCAATCTGAAGCCGGAGAGGCGCATGCGCGTCGAGGACTTCATCAAGAACCTGCGGGGCATCGACGATTGCCACGACATTGACAAGGACATGTTGAGCGGCATCTACGAGCGCGTCAAGTCGGACGAATTCAAGCCGGGCAGTGATCACGTCACCCAGGTGATGAAGGTGCAGGCCACGATTGTTGGCAAGAAGCCGAATCTGGCGCTACCCCACCGCCGCCTGGTGTGCTATTGCCGCCTCTACGAGATACCCGACGTGAACAAGAAGGAGCGGCCGGGCGTCCACCAGCGCGAGGTGTTCCTCTTCAACGACCTGTTGGTCATCACCAAGATCTTCAGCAAGAAGAAGACCTCCGTGACGTACACGTTCCGCAACAGCTTCCCGCTCTGCGGGACTGTGGTTACCCTGCTGGACATGCCCAACTATCCGTTCTGCATCCAGCTGTCGCAGAAGGTCGACGGCAAGATCCTGATCACCTTCAATGCCCGCAACGAGCATGACCGCTGCAAGTTTGCCGAGGATCTCAAGGAGTCCATCAGCGAGATGGACGAAATGGAATCGCTGCGCATCGAGGCAGAGCTGGAGCGCCAGAAGTCGGCGCGCAACCGGGCACCGGGGAACGCAGAGAACCGCGATAGCGGAGTGGCCGATGTGGAGGTGTGTCCCTGTCCCTACGGCTCCCAGCCCGGCGGCGGCTCCCAGGCAGCCGGCGAGCAGGCAGCAGGCAACTCGGCCGACTCCACGCAGCAGCTGAAGCGCAGTGCGCTCAGCAACAGTCTACTGGACATGCACGAGCAATGTGAGTTCTGAGGTTCAGATTTTGATATGTGAGAGCGTTTGCCTTATTCCGCGTCTCCTTTTAGTTGGCAACGAGAAGCCCCAGCGGCGGGGTAGCGTGGGCTCCCTGGACAGCGGCATGAGCATCTCCTTTCAGTCGACCACCACGTCCAGCGCCTCGCGGGAGAACGCTGCGGCCATTGCAGCTGCTGCCAACGCCGCGGCGGCCGCCAAGATGCGTTTCAACATGCCACCAACGGCAGCGATCGCCACTCCCAGCAACGTGTATGCAGCGCCAGGAATGCAGGCGTACACGCATGCAAACTTTGTGCAGCAGTCGCAGGCCGCCTACATGCTGCAGCAGCAGCAAATGCTCCAGCAACAGGCACAAATGCAGGCCCAGGCGCAAGCTCAAGCGCAGGCGCAGCAGCAGGGAGGAGGAGCCGTAGTCACAGGTCGAATCCCTGGAAGGGAGAGGAAGGCCTCACGCTCCGATGAGAACGCACGGTCGACGGAGGTCTAAGTCATCTACTCATCTACGTATTGTACATTTCCGTTCTTCAGCAAAGCGATACATATTAAATCTATATAGCATATAGAGTGAAATATCTGTATAATCCGAATCGAAACGAACCGAAAGCCATTTTTCTCCAACACCTAACAAACACACACACAAACAACACACCACACACAGCTTACGAGTATATAGTGAATTTTGAATGTTCCTTCGTTCTCTGCTAATATTAATTAATGTACATAAATTAAACAATTGTCTATTTCCCAATATCTACTTGCTAAAATAAGTTTCTAAAACTAAATGTATATATATTCAGCATACATGCATACATATACCCCCATACCCCCTACGATCTACGATAGCTATTCTCTATATATATATAAATTGTATAACACTTGACTTCCTCCAAGAACTTGAAACACCAATTTACCCAAGGCAACCCCTAAGCGACATGCCGCCAATTTTTATCTAATCCTCTCTACCAATTACGAAAGCGATCGATTTATGAATGTACGATTACTAGTTCTATTAGCATATTAGCACTAACATCCCCTGTTGAGTGCGCGCTATGTTTATTAAATATTTTCTTTATCCAACAGAAAACCATACATACATATTTGTTTTGTGTAACTAATAACAACGTTTGTACATGCCGCATGTGTGTCGTGTATATACCCTGAATATTAATTTAAAAGCAATTAGCTATAATATAATATTATTCATATTTATAGAGCCAAAACTACCCAAAACCTAAAATATAAAAATAAAAACGTATATGAAAAAAAATATGTATATGAAAAAGCAAAAGACTTAAAAATTTCAATAAATGAAAAGAAATAATACCAATGATTAATTGATTTTCACTTTATGGATCCTCTGGATCATGCGAAAAGGGTGCTTCCTCACATGACCCTATTTGCGCTAGATATAGTTATAGAAAAATAAGAAAACTTTTAAACAATTTCAGCGGCTCAAATGTAAGAAAACGGTTAAATTCAAATCTGAGATACCAGGCGCACAGAAATCAGCAGAAGGTCGCTGCTTTCTTTGATTTCTATTTTTTCTTGTTTCTCTTTGTATTTCGTTGCTCTCTTTTTTCGATCTTCTTTTTCTCATTTTCTGCCCTCACTTTCCACCGCTCAAATGGCAGAAAACGGTTAAATTCAAATCTGAGATACCAGGCGCACAGAAATCAGCAGAAGGTCGCTGGTTTTAGAATTCCTCGTTTTTTCTTGTTTCTCCTTGTATTTTGTTGATCTCTCTTTTCGTCCTAATTTCTCTCATTTTCTGCCTCCCCTCAAATGGCAGAAAACGGTTAAATTCAAATCTGAGATACCAGGCGCACAGAAATCAGCAGAAGGTCGCTGGTTTTTTTTAATTGTCGTTTTTTCTTGTTTCTCTTTGTATTTCATTGCTCTCTCATTTCGCTCTTCTTTTTCTCATTTTCTGCCTCCACTTTCCACCGCTCAAATGGCAGAAAAACGTTAAATTCAAATCTGAGATACCAGGCGCACAGAAATAAGGACTAAACAAAATCGAGGATTTTCTTCCGATCACAAGGACACGTACGCGTAGGACACGAATGAAAAATGACAGAGAAAGGTAAGTATTTAAGACTGGGGAAAATATCCTTGATCCTTGGTCCTTCATAAGGACTCCACAAAATCGAGGATTTTCTTCCGATCACGAGGACACGAACGCGTAGGACACTAATGAAAAATGACAGAGAAAGGTAAGTATTTAAGACTGGGGAAAATATCCTTGATCCTTGGTCCTTTATAAGGACTCCACAAAATCGAGGACTTTCTTCCGATCACGAGGACACGAACGCGTAGGACACGAATGAAAAATGAAAGAGAAAGGTAAGTATTTAAGACTGGGGAAAATATCCTTGATCCTTGGTCCTTTATAAGGACTCCACAAAATCGAGGATTTTCTTACGATCACGAGGACACGTACCACGTCGAGCCCAACAAATTTTATTTGCACCGTGGCGCCCCCATGATCACCTACGGCCACTGATGGAACTAAAGTATGGTAGTTCCAGAAATAGCCGTTCGTAGCTGGGGGCGCCACTGTGCAAATTAAAATTTTTTGTTGCACAGTGGCGCCCCCGCCAACATCGACGGCCATTGCTGGAACTAAAGCATTGTAGTTCCTAAAACCACCGTTCATAACTGGGGGCGCCACTGTGCAACAAAAAATTTTAATTTGCACAGTGGCGCCCCCATTGATGAACGGCTATTTCTGGAACTACCATATTTTAGTTCCATCCTTGACCGTCGGCAATCATGGGGGCGCCACTGTGCAACAACAAAATTTGATTTGCACAGTGGCGCTCCCAGAATTGAACGGCTATTGCTGGAACTGCAATTCTTTAGTTCCAGCAATGGCCGTCGGTGATCTTGGGGGCGCCACTGTGCAAATCAAAATTTTGCTTTTGCACAGTGGCGCCCCCAGCTTTGAACGGTGGTTTTAGGAACTACAATACTTTAGTTCCAGCAATGGCCGTCGATGATGGTGGGGGCGCCACTGTGCAACAAAAAAATTTATTTGCACAGTGGCGCCCCCAGCTACGAACGGCTTTTTCTGGAACTACCATACTTTAGTTCCATCAGTGGCCGTAGGTGATCATGGGGGCGCCACAGTGCAAATAAAATTTGTTAGGCTCAAATGGCCGAAAGCATAACTCCGTTATTTATCGAACAATCAGGACGTGGTACGTGTCCTCGTGATCGTAAGAAAATCCTCGATTTTGTGGAGTCCTTATAAAGGACCAAGGATCAAGGATATTTTCCCCACTTACTTTTCTCTTTCATTTTTCATTCGTGTCCTACGCGTACGTGTCCTCGTGATCGAAAGAAAGTACTCGATTTTTTGAGTCCTTTTGAAGGACCAAGGATCAAGGATATTTCCCCCAGTCTGCAATACTTACTTTTCTCTGTACGTGTCCTCCTGATCGGAAGAAAGTCCTCGAATTTTTTGAGTCCTTATGAAGGACCAAGGATCAAGGATAATTCCCCCAGTCTGAAATACTTACTTTTCTCTGTCATTTTTCATTCGTGTCCTACGCGTACGTGTCCTCGTGATCGGAAGAAAATCCTCGATTTTGTGGAGTCCTTATAAAAACCAAGGATCAAGGATATTTTCCCCAGTCTTAAATACTTACCTTTTTCTTTCATTTTTCATTCGTGTCCTACGCGTACGTGTCCTTGTGATCGGAAGAAAATCCTCGATTTTGTGGAGTCCTTATAAAGGACCAAGGATCAAGGATATTTTCCCAAGTCTTAAATACTTACTTTTCTCTGTAATTTTTCATCCGTGTCCTACGCGTACGTGTCCTCGTGATCAGAAGAAAATCCTCGATTTTGTGGAGTCCTTATAAAGGACCAAGGATCAAGGATATGTTACCCAGTCTTAAATACTTACTTTTCTCTGTCATTTATAAGGACTCCACAAAATCGAAGATTTTCTTCCGATCACGAGGACACGTACGCGTAAGACACGAATGAAAAATGAAAGAGAAAGGTAAATGAGAAAAAGATCATTTTCTGCCTCGACTTTCCACCGCTCAAATGGCAGAAAAACGTTAAATTCAAATCTGAGATACCAGGCGCACAGAAATCTGCAGAAGGTTGCTGGTTTTTTTTTAATTTATCGTTTTTTCTTGTTTCTATTTCTATTTCGTTGCTCTCTCTTTTCGATCTAATTTCTCTCATGTTCTACCTCCACTTTCCACCGCTCAAATGGCAGAAAACCGTTAAATTCAAATCTGAGATACCAGGCGCACAGAAATCAGCAGAAGGTCGCTGGTTTTTTTAATTGTCGTTTTTTCTTGTTTCTCTTTGTATTTCGTTGCTCTCTTTTTTCGATCTTCTTTTTCTCATTTTCTGCCTCCACTTTCCACCGCTCCCAGGGAAGAAAACGGTTAAATTCAAATCTGAGATACCAGGCGCACAGAAATCAGCAGAAGGTCGCTGCTTTTTTTGATTTCTCTTTTTTTCTTGTTTCTCTTTGTATTTCGTTGCTCTCATTTTTTGGATCTTCTTTTTCTCATTTTCTGCCTCCACTTTCCACCGCTCCCAGGGAAGAAAACGGTTAAATTCAAATCTGAGATACCAGGCGCACAGAAATCAGGAGAAGGTCGCTGCTTTTTTTGATTTCTCTTTTTTTCTTGTTTCTCTTTGTATTTCGTTGCTCTCTTTTTTCGATCTTCTTTTTCTCATTTTCTGCCTCCACTTTCCACCGCTCCCAGGGAAGAAAACGGTTAAATTCAAATCTGAGATACCAGGCGCACAGAAATCAGGAGAAGGTCGCTGCTTTTTTTGATTTCTCTTTTTTTCTTGTTTCTCTTTGTATTTCGTTGCTCTCTTTTTTCGATCTTCTTTTTCTCATTTTCTGCCTCCACTTTCCACCGCTCAAATGCCAGAAAACGGTTAAATTCAAATCTGAGATACCAGGCGCACAGAAATCAGCAGAAGGTCGCTGCTTTTTTTGATTTCTCTTTTTTTCTTCTGCTGATTTCTGTGCGCCTGGTATCTCAGATTTGAATTTAACCGTTTTCTGCCCTGGGAGCGGTGGAAAGTGGAGGCAGAAAATGAGAAAAAGAAGATCGAAAAAAGAGAGCAACGAAATACAAAGAGAAACAAGAAAAAAAGAGAAATCAAAAAAAGCAGCGACCTTCTGCTGATTCCTGTGCGCCTGGTATCTCAGATTTGAATTTAACCGTTTTCTGCCCTATGAGCGGTGGAAAGTGGAGGCAGAAAATGAGAAAAAGAAGATCAAAAAAAGAGAGAGACAAGAAAAAAAGAGAAATCAAAAAAAGCAGCGACCTTCTGCTGATTCCTGTGCGCCTGGTATCTCAGATTTGAATTTAACCGTTTTCTGCCATTTGAGCGGTGGAAAGTGGAGGCAGAAAATGAGAAAAAGAAAATCGAAAAAAGAGAGCAATGAAATACAAAGAGAAACAAGAAAAAAAGAGAAATCAAAAAAAGCAGCGACCTTCTGCTGATTCCTGTGCGCCTGGTATCTCAGATTTGAATTTAACCGTTTTCTGCCCTATGAGCGGTGGAAAGTGGAGGCAGAAAATGAGAAAAAGAAGATCAAAAAAAGAGAGAGACAAGAAAAAAAGAGAAATCAAAAAAAGCAGCGACCTTCTGCTGATTTCTGTGCGCCTGGTATCTCAGATTTGAATTTAACCGTTTTCTGCCATTTGAGCGGTGGAAAGTGGACGCAGAAAATGAGAAAAAGAAAATCGAAAAAAGAGAGCAATGAAATACAAAGAGAAACAAGAAAAAAAGAGAAATCAAAAAAAGCAGCGACCTTCTGCTGATTCCTGTGCGCCTGGTATCTCAGATTTGAATTTAACCGTTTTCTGCCCTATGAGCGGTGGAAAGTGGAGGCAGAAAATGAGAAAAAGAAGATCAAAAAAGAGAGAGACAAGAAAAAAAGAGAAATCAAAAAAAGCAGCGACCTTCTGCTGATTTCTGTGCGCCTGGTATCTCAGATTTGAATTTAACCGTTTTCTGCCATTTGAGCGGTGGAAAGTGGAGGCAGAAAATGAGAAAAAGAAAATCGAAAAAAGAGAGCAATGAAATACAAAGAGAAACAAGAAAAAAAGAGAAATCAAAAAAAGCAGCGACCTTCTGCTGATTCCTGTGCGCCTGGTATCTCAGATTTGAATTTAACCGTTTTCTGCCTTATGAGCGGTGGAAAGTGGAGGCAGAAAATGAGAAAAAGAAAATCGAAAAAAGAGAGCAATGAAATACAAAGAGAAACAAGAAAAAAAGAGAAATCAAAAAAAGCAGCGACCTTCTGCTGATTCCTGTGTGCCTGGTATCTCAGATTTGAATTTAACCGTTTTCTGCCCTATGAGCGGTGGAAAGTGGAGGCAGAAAATGAGAAAAAGAAAATCGAAAAAAGAGAGCAATGAAATACAAAGAGAAACAAGAAAAAAAGAGAAATCAAAAAAAGCAGCGACCTTCTGCTGATTCCTGTGCGCCTGGTATCTCAGATTTGAATTTAACCGTTTTCTGCCATTTGAGCGGTGGAAAGTGGAGGCAGAAAATGAGAAAAAGAAAATCGAAAAAAGAGAGCAATGAAATACAAAGAGAAACAAGAAAAAAAGAGAAATCAAAAAAAGCAGCGACCTTCTGCTGATTCCTGTGCGCCTGGTATCTCAGATTTGAATTTAACCGTTTTCTGCCCTATGAGCGGTGGAAAGTGGAGGCAGAAAATGAGAAAAAGAAGATCAAAAAAAGTGAGAGACAAGAAAAAAAGAGAAATCAAAAAAAGCAGCGACCTTCTGCTGATTTCTGTGCGCCTGGTATCTCAGATTTGAATTTAACCGTTTTCTGCCATTTGAGCGGTGGAAAGTGGAGGCAGAAAATGAGAAAAAGAAGACCGAAAAAAGAGAGCAACGAAATGCAAAGAGAAACAAGAGAAAAAGAGAAATAAAAAAAGCAGCGACCTTCTGCTGATTTCTGTGCGCCTGGTATCTCAGATTTGAATTTAACCGTTTTCTGCCATTTGAGCGGTGGAAAGTGGTGGAAGTGGAAAATGAGAAAAAGTAGATCGAAAAAAGGGAGCAACGAAATACAAAGAGAAACAAGAAAAAAAGAGAAATAAAAAAAGCAGCAACCTTCTGCTGATTTCTTTTCGCCTGGAATCGAAATCTGAAAATACTATTTTTTCTGTCATTTGATCGTTTGACAATAGAATATTGCAAGCCTTATTTATTCTCCCCAAGAAATCATTTACAAATTATAGACTTTTATTTAAAGATATATATTTTAATTATATGATAACTTCATATTGTAGTACATTTATAAATATGAAATATAATTATGTGACTTTTTACATGTGTTTATGTACATTTATATATTGTATGTATTGAGCCAAAAAAATGTTTTTTTGAAATTGAAAAAGGACACCCTTTAATTTTGTTATCTTGAGTTGTATATATGCAATAGATTTTACCAATTATCCAACTCATTCAACAAACAATTTGTTTTTAATTTAAAACCTATGTACATATAAAAATAATCTAAAGTGGAACGTAAAAAATTCATTATCCTTATTGTCCCTGCTGAAAATCAGAATGCACCCCTGGGGGTAAAACGGATTCTCATGATCGAAAAAATGTCCTTGATCGATTGGCACGCAAATTTCATGGAAGTGCAGGGCTCTCTAGTCGTCGTCGTCGTTGATGCCCATGCACCTGGGCAAGATCTTCAAGATGGCCGCGCAGATTAATTCGCACACGAAGTACATATATTGACTCTAAAGTGGAATAACAGTCATTAGATTGATAGAATATGCAGTAGATGAGCAAACTTACCATATTAATGACAATGTAGCAAATGCAGGCGTTGGCCGGGTTCAACGGGACTCCATCTGGGGCAGGGTCGTAAAAGTAAGAGAATCAACATTATTCAAATGAGACAGATATAAGAATGGTTTTTAAATTGAGTTCATTTGGGGAACCATACTTTCCAAGGATCGCAGGACTGTCGTTCGCCATAAAAATCTCTGTTACGATAACGAAGTTGGAAAATATAATTTGGAAATTAATTTTTTTTTGCTGCTGAAGTAAAAAGTGCATCTGGATTTTGTTTTCTTACAGAAAATCAATTTTTTATTGATTCAGAAAAAGTTCAGTTTCATTTTTTTTCTGGTTTTGGATGACAGCTTTTGCTCTTTAGGTTTTAGGTTTTTCTTTTTTTTTCTTACCAAAGAGACGTTTTCTTCTTCTTTTACTTTTATGAGTTCTTCTTCTTCGTTTAAATCTTTTGCTATGTTCGGTTTAACGCTTTCTGCTGCTTCGCCTCTCATTGGGCTAAGAGTGCCCTTTCCCTAGCTCTTGCTTGATTCTTCCTTGCCTCTTTTCTCTTTCTTTTTCTGTTCTGTTCTATACTGATCTATTCTCGTTTCTTGTATTCTTTTTTGTTTACTTACAATTAGATTTAATGTTTTTCTTCATTTAATTTTGGTTTCTTTGTTCAACTAGTCTTACTTTTCTTAAGCGAAATAAGCACAAAAGCTGCAAAATGTTATGCTTAAACTAATTTTTCTTTATTTGATCTGTTTTGGTTTTTTTTATATTCTTTTAACTGTATCTCTTGATCTCCAATTCAGTTTTTCAATGTATGATTTTTTGCATTAAAGTTGAGGGCACAAAAAGTACGCGTATAAATTTGAAAGTTGTAGCAAAGATGTCGCATTTTCGCATTTTTCTTGTTGTCATTTGTCCTTATGTTTTCTTTAGCTTTTACTAGAGTTTTAGATACAATTCTTTTGCCATATAAAAAATGCTTAAAAGCGTCACATTGATGCAAAAAATAATACCTTAAAAAATACACAGAGAGTTGAAAAGGATTCTTATTCATGTTTTCGTTTGCATTCGTTCTTCCCTCAGTTTTTGTTTTCTTTTCCTGGAGAATTACAATTAGAGATATAGTTTTTCGTTTTATTTTTGCGCATTTGCTTTGCTTAATTTTTTTGTGGTTTTTGGTTTTTATCATTGTTAATAAGAAAATGAATAAAGTTCTTTAAAAGACTTTGATTTAAAACTTAAAAATAGCAACAAGCGAAATGTACATTACTCTCATTTAATTATTCTGTTCTAAGTTTAATTAGCTGCTTGCCTTTTACGTTTACTTAAAGTTAGTTTACGCCTTTGTCGTCGTGTTCTGTTCCATTCCTACTCCTCCTAGAACTACGGTTCGCCTCGTTTACGCGTAATCCCTCACCCTATCGAAACTTTTGTTTTATGTGTTTTGTTTTGTTTAAGTTTAATGAGCTTGTTTCTTTTGCCTAGCTTTCGGTCGTGTCGTTCCTGCTGCCTTGCTGCCTTTGACGAGTAATTTTACTTTTATGTATTTTCATTTGGTTTTTCTCTTTTTGTTTCGTTTATATTCTTGGTTTTGTCAAAAAAGTTTCAAAAAAATATATATTCATCATTTCCTTAAATTGGCTTAATTAAAAAATGTTTATTTATCCTCGTCCTCGCCACTCACGCTCCTCGCCAGCCACTGCTCCGCCTCTAAACAACGACTAAGACGACAAAGTGTGCCTCCTCTACTCCCTCTTAAAACACAATTCAATTCAATACATTTTAATTAATTTAATTTATTACTTGGATCTATTGGGTGCGGGATTTAGGGATGTGGTTAGTTGGGTGCGGGCCATATAGCAAACATTTAACTAGTACGAAATCACATCGAAAATAAACACAAAACAGCAACGGAAAACATAAAAGTAAACGCTGATAGAAAAACACGCACACGAAAAAACCGTAAATTATTTGTTTGTTTTTGTTTTTTATTGAAATTTTTGTTGTGTTTAATTTTCCATTTTACGCACTAGACATTTTTTTGCATTTTAAAAATTACTTCAACACTCGCTTCAAATTTAATCGGTTCGCTCCTCTGCCAGAGAGAGGTCTTCAATGGGTGGGTGTGGGGCGAAAAAACCCAAGCAATCTTGTATCTTGAATGGGGTCTCTGCGATTTTAAGACAAATAATAAATTAACTACTTAAAATTAGTTAAAAAACTAAAGTAAAACGTATTAAATTAAAACAAAATACAGACGCAACACAAACAAGTTTCAAGTTTGTAGAATACACAAAAGAAATCAGTATAGGTTTTAAATTAGAACACTCACTACTCCATCACCGCTCTCGTCGATTGATTTTATTGTTTACCCATTTTCTTTCTTGCTGTCCATTCCTCCTTTTCCAAAATTAAACCTAACCTCAAACTGTGCGGCACGGTGCAGCGTGGCGTTTATCAACACTGCTCTGTCGCCCGCTAGCTCTTTCTCTAACTACACAAAAACTACAACTTGCTAAATGTGTGTGTGTGTGTGTGTCGGTCGTCGCTCTCTAACTAACCAGCTAATGGGGCGCTTGTCGCTGCTTCTCTTTTTACTACCCTCTAAAAATCATATGTCCTACCTCGTCGACCAACTGCTATATCGCTCTGTTCCGTTCATTCGCGCCTGTCAACACTGTACTTAGGTTCGCTAAACTTACACGCTAATGCTGTGATCTTATATACTAGCTTACTCTCCTCCGTTACATCGACTCGTTCTCTTCTTTCCCTAAAACATAAATTAATTTCTGCCTTTCTAGGGTGGGAACTAACTTAGATTTTAATGCTTTCTCAATTTGCTTAAGTTGTTTGCTGCTAACGAAAGTAAAATCAATAAAACCTATAGAAAAAAAATTGCACTTTGTGTGTGGTGTGTGTGAGAGTTCGAGTATGTGTGTTTGTGTATGTGAAGTGTGAGGAAATTGAAAAAAGTTTCAAAAATAATTTCGTTCGATTTTTTTATTGCTGTTGTATTTGTGATTTTTCTGCCGATGACAACAAATGCAGGCATCCGCATCCTCTCCATTGAATTTTCTAATTTTTATTGCTTTGCTTTTGGAATGTTTTGGCAAAATATTTTCCGTTATCCCTCGCTTTCTCCCTCTTCCACTAGAAACTTTTCCCGATGCCTGTATTACATATGTCCGTGTGTGTCCATCCTGCATGTCCGTTTGTTGTTTTCATAAATTTTTTTAAATTTTAGTTCGTAGTCAGTCTAAAAGCAAATTAATCATACGAGTAAGTAGTTAGATGAAACCAAACAGAATAACATTTGCATATTTTGTTGAGGTTTTGTTTTTGGGCTTAGGAAGACTTTTGGCGTTGTGTTTCTTACTTTTTGTATATAGTATGTATGTTATGTCTATATAATATGTGTATTTATGACTACATATAGGCAGGTGAACTTGCGGTTGTTGCGACCTGACAACTCTAAACCGAGAAATCGTTTTAGCAATCCCCATACACATTATATACGAAAATCAAATCAATTCAAAGACTTGGCTCAGGAATGTTGTTTGCTCTATGCGTGTGGGATCCTCTGTGTGTGTGTCTCCGAATACAAGTTGGCAACCCTGTCCGAGATCCGGCTATCCCTCAGACCCCACTTGGATCCGCTGCACTCACATCCTTCCTTATTTCCTTCTTCTTTTGCTTTGTTTTTTAAAATTCGAAAAAAATCACAAATACAATGGATGTCTGTCTGCGTCTGTGTCTGAATGTGTGTTAGTGTGTCTGTGTCCATGTGTTGGTGTTTTAAGAAAATAAATATAGGCTAGGCTCTGAAAAGGTGTTCAATTTAAATTCTAAACTTGCTTTTCCACTTTCCTATCTCCATTCTACATTCTCCAAAATCTACTTAATAGACGCTTACAAGACTAAAGAAATCCTCGCTTATTAACTAAGTTTCACTAAACGTAGTTCTTCTTTCTTACTGCTGCTTCTGCTTCGCCCTCCTGTTTTTTTCTTCATTAAACATTAATATTTTTTTTTATATCTGTTCTGCTTCTCTTTCGGTTGTTGATCCTAACTCTGGCTTACTCTTCAAAAAAACCAAACTCCATCATTCCTCTCATTCTACCGTTCTGCCTTTCGGTTTTCCCATCCAATCGTCTTCTTTTCCTCCTCCTCATCCAACTCTTTCACAAAGCTAAACTACAGTTCTACAATTTCAAATTTATTTTCCATGTTTTGTTTTTTTTTTAGTTTTTGCTACTTTTTGTGTGTGTTCTGTTTGGTTGGTTTTTGCTATTCCCTTTTATAAAGTGTTTGCCTCTTGGTTTCCTTGCTAATCGTCCATTTATCTCCTCCCTTCCATTTACTTCTCTTCTCTTGCATTTTGCAGAAAAATATACTATACCTAACTTGGTTTTTACCTTCAGTAATATGTCTAAAAAACAGTTAAACGTAAAAAACTGTAGACAGCTACAAAAAATTCATTCATTAAATCGACTGATGAGCACAAAAAATATGCTAAAAACTAGTACAAGATTTTTCTCTTCCCTCTCTCCATTCTTCACCTTCACTTTCACTTCCACTTCTACTTTTACATCTACTTCCACTCTTCTTGCATCGTATTCTTTCGCTTTCGCTTATTTTCCATTGTTTTTTTTTAGATCTCTAGAGCTACTGAATCTGCTGCGTACTGCAATTTTTCTTATATTCTTTAGTTTTTTTTAGTTTTACTTTTTGTTTTTTTTTTCGCTAAGTCTTAACCTAGTTTTCGCCCCACTTGGGGACTCTTTTTCATCATCTCTTTTGTTTTTCAATTAAACTTATGTTTCGTCTTCTTCTTTGACTGCTTGGATAGCACAAAATGAATGTCAAAAAGGGAGATAGACATGTTTTTTTTTTAATTTTAAAGTTCATTCAGTTTTGTTTTCTTTTGTTTTTGGATCTTTGCTTTATACAATTTGCATTTTTATTTGGGGGAAATAGGTAAAACGAAACAAAAGATCTGATCTTACCATGCTTTTGTCGCTATCTACGCTTTCTGCTTCTCTCTTTCTTCTTCTTCTGCTTCTGCTTTGTGCTGTTTAACACTGCTCAACAAAATACAAAATAAATATTACAAATTAGACAAACAGAAACAAAACATAGGTAGGGGATATTTCCTCCTCCTACTTTTCCTTATAGCAGGCCACAAAAACAAGGAAAATGTTGCCTCTAAGGTAAAAAATAGTTTACCCATTTTTAGCTTTTACTTTTTTCTTTTTTTCTCTAGATTTTGCTGCAGTTCGACTTAAGATTTAGGCTTTTTGTTTGTTGTTGTTTTTGTTTTCATCATCAAACTGCTTTTGGGGTTTTCTTTTTATTTTCTCAGTTTCTTCGATTAATTTTTAATCTTTTCTTTAACATACATTGCACACACATTTATTTTTTGTTTTTGTTTTGTTTTGGGTTTCGGTTGCTTCCTCTTTTCATCAATTAATTTCACAAATTTCTCTCTGCTTAGGTTTTTTGCTAGCTCAAAATTAGCAAAATAGTTTTATATATTTTTTATTCTTTCTTTTTCTATTTTTACATCCCCGTCGATCCGATCCGATCCTCTCCCGGGGGATCCTTCCCCATGCAATTTTAAATCTTTTTCTTTCTCTTAACGAACCTAGATCTTAACTAGAATCTGCTTTCGGATTTTCTTGCAGATGTTTCTCAAGTTATCCATTACCTTGCCCCCCGTTTGACTTCTTCTCCTCATCTTCTTTTATTTTCTTTTCTTTCTTTGATGTTCTGTTTTTTTTAGCAGTTCTCTTTTTGTAAATATTTTCGACTGCCTCTCGTTTGTTGTTCTCTTGAATTTTCTGTTGTTAAGCATCTTTGCTGTTTCCTCTGCTGTTCTCTGTGGATCTTTGCTGTTTTTATTTAGTGTATAACTATTTTCTATTATTTAAGTTTAGTCTTTGCTTTTCTTCACTTTTTACTCGCTTCTTTCTTTTTCTTTCTGCTTGGAAGCTTTGCTTTGCCTTGCCCTCTTCTCTCTCTATGCATTTTCTCCTTCTTCTTTCCTGCCTTACATGTATCTCAATTCATGTATCTTCTAAACAACTTCGTCCTCCCCATCTAACTTATTTCTACATGATTTTCCTTTTCATGGCTTTCGGTTTCGGTTTTTCTAATGTTTTCTGTATCTTTTTTAAACATTTATTTTACTGAACTGCATTGTTTTTTCTTGTCTGATTTATCTGCTTCTGAATGTTCGGTTTGTTGGTTGCTCCTGTGGTGGTTATCTTCTATATCCGATCTGTTGCTGCTTCTGCTTCTGTTTCTGCTGCTGTTGTTGTTGTTGTGTAGTGTTTGATGTTCCTCCTTCTCCTCCTCCTTCATCTTGCTCTGGGGCATGCTCTCTCACTCGTCCAATTTATATAGTACTCAAATGGGGTACTAGTAGATTATAGCTAAAATGAACGAAACTTTCATTAGATATCAGATACAATGGTACACGATTTGCTGTAGTTCAGGGTATTGGGAGTGGTTAAGGGTATCTTTTGGTGTGGGGTGGGGCTGGAGTAGGGGAACTCATGCAGTAGATGGATGATATTTACCTAGTATGGATTACCAGTGATTAGACTGCTTAGTAACTATACTATATATATGTGAGAGAGAGAAAGAGAGAGAAAAGAGAAATGATGTTGTTGATTGTCATATTTTGTTGTTTGTTGTTGTATCAATAAGAAGCAGCAGAAAGAACGAAAATAAACAAGTAAAATTGCATTGGTTTTAGTATTGATTGATTGAAATGATTGAAAAATAGTATTAATTGATTGATTGATTGTTTGTTTGGTGGTGAATGAACAGATATCTGAAGCAAACAGGCAAGCAACAACAGGCAGCACTCAAAAACACATGAAGCCGATGACTGTCAGTGTATCTGTTGTGTGTGTGTGTGTGTGTGTATGTGTGTGTGAGCAGTGTTGGCAAGGGTGTTCAAGTCCTGGGAAACGATGAATCCTTGGGAGAGGGTTCAGTTTCGGTTTCAGTTTCAGTTTTCGGAAAGAAGCTCTGAATGGAAAGCAAATGAAATGAAGAGGCGAGTGATTTATGATCATCTATTTTGGTTATTTGGTGGGTGGGTGGTGGCTTTTGGGTTTAAGAGAGAGACAGAGAGATCTAAGCTCTAAGAGCGAACGGCGCACATGCAAAACAGTGTTGGTAAACGCAAGAGATTCGAGTATCGTGTAGTGTGCTACAACCAAAAAATGGAATAATGGCAACTATAGCAACTAAATCAGTTTTTGATGGTGGGGTGGGGTGGGGTGGTTGGAAAACTCTTCTCTTGAGAACTTTATGGAGTGGGAGGTGGGAGGTGGTCGTGACAAAGAGATTTTGAAGAAACTCATTGCAGAGAGAGTTGGCAACAGAGAAGGGGAGCAAAGACAGAGAGAGAGAGAGAGATTCAGAGACAAAGACTGGGAGAGAAGAGAGAGACATCACTCACCTCGCGAAGACCTACTTGGGAGCGGCTTGATGTGGATACTGTGTGTATGCCTCGTCGGGTGATGCAGCTGTGCTAGCCTGTTCGGAATCTGTCATTGGCATTGTTGGTATAATAGTTGGTTGTGGTGCATAATATGGATAAGTTGGACTAATATACTGTAACGATGGAGAAAAGTTCTATAAAAGAAAACCGAAAAGAAACGAAACGGTAAAAAATGTATATAGAACAAACCAAGAAGAAAGCATAAACATTTCAAATAATAATGAGAGAAAGGAATAAAAGAAAAGAATAGAAAGAGTACAAATTATATATTAAATTATTGAAGATTTATCATTCGAGGCACACAAAAACACGGCCTCGGTTCGAGGAGTGCCGCATCCTGTGTTGTAAGTGGACAGAACTCTCTTTCTTTCTTTTCAATCAAAACAGATTTCAACCATATATACTGCATATATCGTACATATATGGATCAGATACATACATATATGTGGTATATATGTGTGTGTGTGTGTGTGGCTATGCAAAAGGTACACACACACACACATCTTTTCGATAGAAAGAGTCTTTACGGGGGAGGGTGGGGCATAGGGTATCGATCGATTGCTTACAGAGTTGCCAATCTGCAGGGTGGCCAACTGTGGCATCATCGTTCCATATGGCACGGCCGTGTCGCCACTGACCATCATCGAAATGCCGCGGGGTTGCACCTGATTGACAGCCTCCGGTTTGTATGAGGTGACGCCCAACTGCGGAGCGGCAGCCATTTGCATGTACTACGATAAAGAGAGGAATACCCATTAGTATACAAATATGTTACGTTAAATATCCATCATTTACTCACCTGATCATCTACCTGAGTGATCGGTTGGGTCATCATGTAGCCGGGTATCCACTGGGACCCAGCCACTGGATAGCCACCCACCTGGGGGGCACCGAATCGAGAGTACGGCACACCAATGGGAGTGCCCACATTGACGCTGACACCGTTCTGCTGCATGCTCGGGTCATAGGTGACGGGTATGCCCTCGGCAGAGACATCGCGCCACGCACGGGCATTCGGATCGGGGGTCTTGAAGAGATTCTTCTTTTTCGGTCCGCCATCAGCGAACTTCACCAGTAGTGGATCTTTGGCACCCGGTATTGTGTTACCATTGAACATCTGAATGATTTGCTCGCACTTTTCGCGACTCTCCATGCGGGCAAAGCCAACGCCTGCAAAGATCATTGATTTGAATTAAATATATATATATTAATTTTAAGTATTATACGATTTGGCTTACCCTTTGAGTTCATCTGCTGATCACGCAATATTCTGGTCGAAACAACTTGTCCGTATTTCGATAGCATTGCCTCCAGATCAGTTTCTTTGAAGTGGGGCGGCAAATTTGCAATATACAAATTTGTGGGATCCTGTTCCTGTTGCTGTGTGGTTGTTGTATGCGGATTTCGGGTCAGAGATCAACGCACAGGGTTGTGGAGATTGTTGATTGGTGGTTGAAGATCATTCGAATTGAATCAGTTTTTAGTTTGGATTTGTTTTGAGGTTTGATTTGATTTGATTTGTTTGTTGTTGGACACAAATGGTTAAACGTTACACAAAAGCAATTGGCATTAAGCATTGGTGTACAGGTGTAGGTGTAGGTGTTGGTGTGCATATGTATATGTATGTGTTTGTGTGTTTGTTGTTTATTTGTAAAAGAGAGAGAGAGAGGGGAGTAGAGAGAGAGATTAAGAACATAGAGAGATTTTGTCATTAGTAAAAATTCAAATTTCTTTCCAAAAATGTATCTGTGTTGTCGAACTCTTTATCTGTCTGTGGTGGATTGTCTGTTGTCTGAGTGTGTGTGTGTGTGCGTGTTAGTGTGCGTGAGAGTGTGTGTGTGTGTATCTGTGTGAAGTGTGCCTGACTGCTATGAGAATGTATTGGTGTATGAAGGCCTCACAGACTTAAGCAAGAATCTCGATAGAGCATAAAGTATCTTAAACCCCAAAAAAAAAAAAAACGGAGCTCCTGGAAGGAGCATCCATAGACCTATTTGAAATAAAATATATCCCCCCGCCCCCTGGTAGTAGATCTGGTGTTCCCTCAACGCAACAAAATATATGGCACGAGATGGTTTAAATGGCTTAACTAAGTTAAATACCTGATCAGCTGATTTAGTAAGTATATATAGTAGTATGTCTTAGGGTTTAAATGAGATCTGTTTGTTGTTTATACTTAGAGTTAAGATTGGTATTTGGTTTGATTGATATTTTGGCCGGCACAGGTTTGTAGCAATTTGCGTACTCAAAAACTCAACAAACAACACAACTGTTTCAAGAGCAGGTTGCAGTACGAGTAGTAGATGGAGTAGTAGTAGTAGTTGGAGTAGTAGTACAGGTTGGTGGTTATATACTTTTTGATTGGCTGGCTATAACTTCAAAATACACGAGTATACAGTTTATACAGTTGAATATATATAGATATGTAGAATATATATTTAGTTGAATATATATATTTATATATGATGTAGTAGAAGAGAGAGAGAGAGAGAGATTCGATTCATACGCTATATATATTTACTTGTTTCTATTTGGAGATGTTTCATGTGTGTGTTTGTGGTTTTCTATGGTTTTTTCTATCGCTTACCAAACGGTTTAAGGCCTACGCAAATACGCAAGTACATGTGTATGTGTGTGTGTGTGTGTGGTCTCTCGTTTATTGCTGGCCAACAAAAGCTTCTGAATTTAGCCATGTTTTTGCATGTTTTTAATGAGCATTTAATGCCTGCCACGAGAGTGGGAGAAGAGTAAGCTCTTCTTCAACGGACAAAAACTTTTTGAAGAATTAATATATGCAGTAATAAATGGCTAAAAGCTTTCATACGGATACGTATACGGATTCTAACGAATTTCAAACAGATTCCAGCATCCAGCAATCCATAAGCCTCTGCTAAGTGGCTGCTAATTATTGTTTGTGGCATGTTTACAAGTGGAATGGAATGTTTCCCCCAAAAATGGAGATGTTGTCGAATGGGGGGACTTTCTCTACTTAAATCAACGAGTGTTATTTTTGCTAGTATCTACCCAGATTTCCCAGATGTTTAGGAACTAAACTACAATCCAAGAAACTGATAAAAACTATATTCTAAATATTGATGTATATTTTACTTAAGTGTTAAGATAAGTCTTCTTTATAGCTATCTTGAAATGGAAACCAAAATGGATTGAAGGTATGAAAATAAGGCAAATATCAACAGTACAGGTACATGTCTTTATAAAGTACATACCAAAGGTTATAGAAAACATCATAACACATCAAGAAATTAACTGTGAAAGAACCGAATGCAATCATGGCCCAGCTCTCTTCGTTATCTTTTCAAACACTTCACACCTGTGTCAATCTGTGTTTTCAATAATCTTTGGAGTTACATAAATCTTTCCAACTAAAAATCCTCTAAGGGGCATACTTATAAGGGGTGGATGGATTCATAAATATCTAAAAATGTACTTTCAAATATAATCAAAGGAAAACATTATTCCGTACTTTCTTTATGACTAACTTGATGGATAATACGAGGGGGGGGCTGTGTATATAATATATACTGTATATACATAAAACTACACCTGACGAATGTCTTTATGGAGGATTCGTATATGTATACTACGAGTACGAGTATATAACATACATACTGCAGTATATAGTATGTATGTATGCTGTGTATACCTAATGAGCATGAGATTATACGCTATAATTACAATTAAATACCTGTACTATAATGCTTAATGCAATTAATTTACCAAACAAATCTCTCACTTATGGACACTATTGTTATCTTTTTTTTTTTTTGTGGGGGGATTTCTGTATTCAATAATTCAATTGTTTTTTGCAACTGCTAAAGGAAGATTAAAGAGAAGGATTATTTATTTGATGACTTTCTGCTTCATAACTAATGAATGCCATTGATAAATGCATTAATTCTCAATCGAATATATCGAATGTACACTATGACTAGCGAGTTTTTTGTATCCAATGGAACTACCTCTAGCGAAAAAGAAAACCAACAAAAAGGAGCATTAATTTCTAGAATTTTGGTTTCTGAGGTTTTTTTTAAATACTAGACAAATTGTTTGTAGTCTCTATTTTGGTTATAATGGAGGATAAGTACGAGTATGTGTGGTTTTTGGTATACGACAAACGGTTATACAAAGAGAGTCTTGAAACAACACTACGAACTAGGGGATGGGCTAGGGTATCGGGGTTGGGTTTGGACAGGACTTTTTTGGTCTGGGATTCTGGAGGGATATGATACAGAAGTAATAGAAAAATCAATCAAAAGAATACGCATGTAATTTCAAAAATAGATTTGTACGTTTAGTTCCACGCTTTGGAAGGAGTTTAATTTCGTTTCCAGAAGAAGAATAAAATCTAATAGAAACTCAATAGGCCATCAACCAAAATCAAGAAATTTAGATAGAAACTTAGAGAAAACTTAAATAGTAGAAGAGAAGGCAGCTTGTGGAGGCGTGGTCAGTACATAAAGCGAAATGAATAAATGAACAAATGATTTGGAGCTGGATTTGGGCGGGGATTGATGGAGATTCAACTGGGGGTTTCTCAGGTTCTGGGAACTGGGATCTGGGATCTGGGGTTGGGGCTGGGGCTGGGGTGGGGATCTTCTTTTTGGGCGGTGTGTGGGGGGTGAGTATTACTTGCATGCAAACAAACGTACAATGGCCGGCCTATGAAGCACCCAGATACCCACTTTGGCCATCTGAGCTTGCACGCCCTTCCCCTGCAGTCCCTTGACGGCGCACTCGGCAAAGGCTGGCTGCTCGAAGTCGACGAAGCCGTAACCTGCAAAAAAGCATATTTTGTTTTTGTTTTTCGTTGTTGTTGTATTTGTTTTTTGTGTGTTGTTGCGGGTGTCGGGTGGGTTGGGGGAAATTTTTTATTTATTTTTATATATTTTTTTTTAATTGCATGTATAAATATATATATAAGATATACAGAGAGAAATAGAGAGATTGTGTGGTGTTTATTTAGATTTCCAATATTTTTTTTCGCACACAAATTGAAAATTGAAAACGAAATTCAATCAAAAACCAATCAAAAAAATACGATTAAGAAAAATCATGAATATTTTTTAAATTTTTTAAGGGCGTTGGGTCACGTGCAACATAATTGAAACAAAAACAAAATATTTGTTGAGCGAGAGCAAAGAAAGAGAAGAAAAAACGGGTGAAAATTAAATTAATAATTAATTTGGTTTCAGTTAAAGTAAACATAGAATAAATACTACAAAACAAATTCAAATCCATGATTAAAGGAGATATCTTATTGAAATATTAAAGAGAAAAATACTAAACAAATATTGGGAAAACACAAATAGATCCTAATAGTAAATAAAATACTGTTAAAACTATATCAATAAATCAATATCTACAATACTACAAAAAAAAATTGCTCAAAACTATATCAAATAAGATTCAGATATAATCAAATCAAAGAGAAAAAATCTATATTTATATTAATACACGCACAAACATTGACAGAGAAAGCCTTTCATAGTTGTACAATTTTTACAGCTTGCTCAGTTCAGTTATCGGTTATTATATAGTTTGCAGTATATTATCATTATAGTCATTATCATTATCATTAGCAATAGTAGTTGGGGTGCATTTGTAGCAGTAGATAATGCTACTGGTAATACTTGACTGAGTACTGAGTATGTAGTATACAATATATATAGAGTGGAATGCATGAATGACACGATTGCGAAATGAGAAAGAAACCGAAATCATAAAACTCATAGCCAAGAGAAGGAAAATCAAGGGTATATAATCGAAATATTTCCAATCGAATCTTTGATTTGGCATGTTGAAAATCATATAATATCTATACAGAGGGTACACAATGTATACATTTTTATTTTGTATAACGAACAAGCAATAATATTTGACAATGTTTTAAAAGAAACGAAAAAAAACTAAGTTATAAGAACTAAATCAAGGTGTAAATGCTGACTATTCTCCAATGACTAGGAAATCTATTTTTTGTTTGACTCTTTAAATCTTGAAATTCGTTGAAAAGTATTCAGCATTTTCCTCAAATATAAACAAACATTAAATAATATTTCAATGAAATTTTAGTTTTCTCTTTTTTTAATTTTTTTTTTTTGTTTGTTTTGTAGTATTTTTATAGGTATTTTTTGGGTACATAAACACATACTAATAATACATATACGAAAAACACACATAAATAAAATAATGATGAGAATGGTGAAGAAAAAAATACCTTTACATTTGTTTGTTGTTTTATCTAAAATCGCCTTGGTTGATATAATGGTTCCGTATCTGAAAAGTGGGATACAAAGGAGAACAAAAAGAATTAGAGGGTGGAACTATAGTCGAGTCAACAATTTATGGGGGAATGGTAGTGGGGGGAGTGGAGGGCTGCGAACGAACGACCACAAAGAGTGGGATAATCAGATTATAAACACATTCATGTATCTCTCACTCTGCGTGTCTGTTGGGTGCCACGTGGCATGTGCCATACAAATGTTGTACCTTTTGAATAAGTAATTAAAGTCCCATTAAAATTAAATTTTTATGCTCGTGCCGCTCGAAAGTAGGCAATAGTATCTGTATCCCATTTTCACCTCTGCAAAGGTTCCTTTTGGATAGAACGTAGCCCGTATCCCATAGTGGGGGGAGGGGGGACCGCTACCCCTTTGAATTGCTCATTTATTCTTGCCCCATAATTGACTTAGTCCGTGTGTCCTGTGGCGCTCCATTTTAGCCTGACAGCCATCCTGCCTGCCTGCATTGGTGCTTGCTGCCTGATTGCCTGCCCCCTCCCTGGTGGCTTGGGTTGGAATTAAATCGATATCTTCTTAGTTACAACTCCCCTCCTCCCTCCCCGCTACAACCCATTGAACCCACACCACCGTTATAAATACATAGTTATAATAACATTAAAGCCTCGAGCTTCGGCTTTGCCTTTTCCCTCCTCTAATAAGCCGCTTATTTTGATTGCCTGCAGCGGGAGATGGAGACGGAGGTGGAGAGCTGCAGAGTGGAGTCTGCAATTTTCCCCCCCGAGGAAAAGAGCTGGCAAAACAAATTAACCTTCTATTTAATTACGAGACTTATTACCAAGGAACCAAAGCAACCTTCTGCCATCTCCTCTTTCTCTGATGCTTTTCCATTAGTTTTTTATGCTTCTGTGACGCCACTAATAACTTATTTTTTATGCATAAAGGAAAATGCGAAATGGAAATGGCATTCGTTCGTTTCGTTTCGTTCCTTCGTTCAGTCGTTGATGTTGACCCATAATTAAGTGGTGGGGCACTTGTGAAAGGCGGGGGCACGCTGCGTATGCGTAATACCACACACATAATAATACGTTTACTTTCCCCGCCGCATCACCGCCTCACTGATTTTTCCTTTGCTGGTGGTTTTCCCCCCTACCCCGAAAAACATTCAATTTTTTTGTTTTTGTTTTTTTTTTTCGGCCATTGATGAAGCGTGCGCACTAATTAGTGGTTTTTGTTTAGTTTGCAGAAACTTTTGATGGGTGCGGGGGTGGCAGGCTGTCATTTTTTTGGGGGTTACTTTTGGACCTCGACCAACCATCCGCAAAAGAACCAAAGGGGAGGGTGGCTTTGGTGGCTTTTGGGGGTGACGCAGTCACGCGGAAGGGACTGAGGCTTAGCCCCTCATTAGCAGAACGGATGAAGGGGTGGGATGAAGGGGTCGAGTGGGTAGCGTGGTGCGGTTTTGATATGGATTTAGGGTTCATTCCCAGAGAGAGAGAGAGAGAGAGCGAATGAGAGAGTGAGCCCTCAATCAATAGTCCGTCACATACAACATTTCGGTTCCGGATGGCTGGCATTTGGTATGATTGATGTGGCCCCAAAAGCTTGAGCCCCATCTCAAATTGTGGGGAGGGAGGAATATCTTAAAAAAAAGAAGCTGCACATACAGGAAGGGAATATGTGCCATGCCTAAAAATGGCGATGATTTCGCAAATGTATCTCAAAGATGGGAAAATACTAATATCTTGGATTTAACAAATGGAAAATATACCATGAAGCACATGATTTCTGCGTTTAGTTTGCATCATGAAGATACTTTTTTATCTTTATCTTTCGACAGGAAATATGACAATAGTATCCCTAAAATGTATAATTTAAGCCCCTACTAAATTGAAGTTCCTGCAATCTATGGCTCAGAACCTTTTTGTCAAAGGCATCTTTTTATTTTCGCCTCAAATATCTATTAAATCGCTGGCTGCTGCTGCTGCTGTCCAGAGCGTCACAAAAACAATTAAATTAAATATGCATAATGGCCTGCCGGCCGCCCAGAGGCCACACCCACGGGGGCCCACATTCTATCTCCTATAAAACAATTTAATATGATAGGTAGACCGCAGAGACACAAGAGATACATAGGACGACCGCAGGGCATAGAGAATGCAGGTTGCAGGATTCAGGATGCTTGATTGCATTCATATCTTCTTTTTAGGGGGGACACACAGTATATACAGTAATTTTATATACATATGTATGTGTATAGGGGTCTGGTCTGGTCTGGTTTGTGTATATGTACTCACTGTGCACACATATTAACTAGATCCTTGTCGGTTGTGCCTTGCTGCAGTCCGCGTATATAGAGATTTGTCTTTGACAACTGCTCGCCGCCCTGTTGGTTCTGATTCTGAACGGTGCCGTTGGGACCCATGTTCGTGTTGGTGTTCGTCGTGTTGCTCAGGCTGGTGCTCAGTGTGCCGCTCTGGGAGCCGGTGTTCGAGGAGCTGCTCGAATTGGTGTTGCTCGGTGAGGCTGCCGTTGGCACACGCTGGCCGTACTGCAATAGAATGAAGGAAAGAGCATATGAGTATGTGAGTATATGTATGTATATGTATCTGGTATATATATGGTCCAGGAACTGCTTTTGGTATTTTACTTTCCCATAATCTGTGGATGACGATGGTGAAAGACACTTACTCGTAAGCAAAAGTATTTTTATTGAAATTCCATCTGAAAATAGCTGCCATTCGAAGTTATTGAATGCCGCTGGCTACTGCTTGGCTCACACAATATATACGGCTACGGATAGATTGTGGAGAGGTATGCCCCAAGAGAGAGAGAGAGAGGGAGAGACACAGAGAGACATTGGCATGTTGACGACAGCCATGACGATGGCGTTTTTCACTTAAAATGCTACACATGTGCGCCAGAGAGAGACAGAGAGATGGTACTGCCTGCCAGGACTCGGCTGCAGGATATTTTGGCACTCGAAGGAAGGCGTTGAAAATCTATAAAATTTGTATGCAACAAACAAAAGGCTTTTCCTCCTTGCTCATGCCTCCGCTGCCATTGAGATACATTTTTGAAAATTTGCCAAAAAACATTATTTTATTCGAGCGCAAACGCTGAAATATGCATAACCAGGGGGGGAGACAGGGAAGTGTGGGAGAAGTAGAAGAAAGGCAGAGGAAAACCATACCAAAAGTTCAACTCGGGAAAATTCCCGTAAAATGCAAAACCGAAAATCAAGCGAAACATTTCGCCCTCTCTCTGCAAAGGAGTGCAGCAAAAGGGGTTAAGGGTGCGTACTATTTTTTTTTTTGGCAAACTTTTGCACCCAACCACAAATCCATTTGCATGGCTAGGGTAGAGTGTTGGGAAGGGAGGCGGGCGGAACCGCTGCTAGCGTTGCTCTCTAATTGATCCAGAAAAAAGATTTAAACAAGCGAAAACATTCTCAATGGTCGATGCTCATGTCAGCCAGTGGCTATTGCGGCAATTTGTGGGTCAAATTTAAGTTGCAGACAGAAAGCAGATAAAAAAAACCGTGGAATAAGCATTTAAATTTGTATTTCAATTTGGTTTGCAGTGCCACTGAATGCACTTGGATAAAAATGAGATTTTTAAATGAGTTTTCAGTCGGTTTGTTCTCTCATTCGATTGGGAGAAGAACGAATCCACATGCAGACAGCTTTTTCCCGTAAGTCAGTAAAGAAGGATTGAGTGACGCTACTCAGTTGGAGAGCAAATCTATCTATTTTGTCACGACAGGTGCTCTTTTCGAGAGGTGCGACTCCTTGACTTCCCTTTTTGGGGTTTTATTTGCAGTCACGCATCAGCGGCCGAAATTCAGAATCACTCTCCCTCTGCCTTGTACAGCAAGGGGACATCCCCTTTAATCAGCTCTTTAGATCACATCCATGAGATACATTTTAAGTACAGTTTAATCTTCTCTACAAAGAAAATTCTCTCTGTCTGGGCGCATGCAAAAACATAATTAAATAATAAATTCCTCCTCCAGTAAATTGCACGTCTTTTATTTTTCTGTTATTGTTGTTCGCAAAGTCAGCGAAAAAAACACACGAGAAGAAAGAAAGAAGAAAAAAAAAAACACTCATACGCCCTGTTGTGTGCCAATGAACTTTCCGCGCATTCTTAGCATTCGGTTGCCTCTGTCTCTGTCGCTGTCGCTGTCTTTGCCCCTGTGACTCTGTGCCTCTGTGCCCCTGTGGCTCTTTCTCTTTGTGGCCTGTGCCTGTGTGTGACTCTCTGTCTGATAATGAAATTATATCGTTCTAATAATTTTATGCGCACAGCAACCAACGGAACGACGGACAACGAACCGGCAAATCAGCGCATAAACTACACATGAAACCCCCAGACAGAAACACACACGCACACACACTTTCAGATACACAGATACACCACAAACTACAGATACCACTACTATATATTTCTTTTTTTTATGTGTGTCACGCCAAAATCGGCCAAACGACAAGTTGGCTGCCGTTTTCTTTTTTTTTTTTGCATTTTATTTCATTTTCCCCCGGTTCCCTTTGGCTTTGCTGTTTTTATGGTTGCTATTCGTTATTCGCTCGCTTCTTTTTTTTGTGGTTTTTTGTGTATTAATTTTGTTTGAAAAAAAAATTGCGTCATTTGCAAAAAATTTTACGCTGCGAATTTCTGCGCGCAAATTCGAAAGTTGTCTCTAATTCTTTTTCTCTCTCCCTCTCCTCTATTAAATATTTATTTTCTTTCTCATTCCCTTTCTCTTCTATCAACTCTTTGCCTTTTGCTCTCCGATGGCTGTCTTCCCTTTATAATTCTCTTCCGCTTTTTGTGTGTGGCCCACAACGTGTGCCCTGAGACTTTGGACAAGTGTTCTTCCATTGCTCCCCCTCCGGTTCCCGGTTCTTGTGCTACACTTCCTCTTTCTCTTACCGCTCGTATAAGCAGCACACATTAGCACACGATGATAGTTTTTTGGATGTGTTAACCCCTCTCTTTGGGCGATTATTTATGCGCATTTAATTTGTTTACTTATTTATTGCACTGCCACGAGACAGCAGCACAGGATAGGAGTAAAAGCAGATGAGAGGATAGGTAGGGAGGTACCCCAACAAGAGCAGCAGTAGGAGGGAGGAGGCAGGTAAAGGGGAAACCCCCGAAAGCGAAACAAAAAACTAAAAATACCATTTTAATGGCATAAGCGCAACTTTTTGATTGCCTCACAGACAAATGGTAGGAAGACAGCAGAAGAAGGGGGGATAGAGGCTAAAGAATAGTCAAGGACGAAAAGGAGGGAGCCACAAAGGAAGAACAGATGGCAGGACGACAAAACAACAAACGATGTCGTCTTCGATGACGATGGCAAAGGAACACGCAATTCTTAATGTCCTCAAAACTTATGGCCCGCCATTTCGTTTGGTTCGGCACTCGCTTCTCCTCCTTGTTTTTTTATTTATTTTTTAGGAGATTAGACAAATGTTCACGGATTATGATGGCAGGTGGGGATTTAGGAGGCATAAAAGAGAGCTTAATGGTTAGAGGCGAGTAGCAGGGAGGGAGGCAGAGCAAGGACAAAGCTTCATGGAGAGGCAGAGCCATGGGATATGTTCAGGCAGGAGCTGGAGCCCATGGAAAGGTATTGGCACAAACTATTTTGATATGGGTCTGAGGAGGGCTCTGACGATGGGCTCGCTGATGTCTTTTTCAGATATCGATTATGAAGATTGACAGACGACAGTTGGTGGGGTGGGGGCATTTATTTGCCTGTCTGTTGTTCGCTCTTAAGCCCCTAAAATTTTCCACTTAAAAGGGGTCAAGTGTAGAGTCAGGTAAAGGGAGAGGGAGCAGAATGGAATGAGTGGAAATCTTTGAGTGGAAAAAGCCCAAGGGAATATCAATAGAATTTCACAATAAATTTCCATTCATCGAAAGATTGAAGCAAATGACAGATACAGTTGCAAATTGCAAGTACAGTAAGGCCTCTTTATAATGGAAAGCCACAAGGCTTCGATCTAAATACTTTGGATGGGGGCAAATAAGCAAAATAATTATGTCTTGATATCGAACATTCCATTCCCCTTCCCATCTACTTTTTATACTCCGTTCCACTTGCTGTTTGTACCCTTTAAACCAGTTTTCACTGTTAATTGAAAAAGAACAAATAAAACCCAAAGAGAAACCAAAATTCAAAGAATTAGGAACCTGCAAACTTCAAGGTGTGATTGTGATCCATTTCCAACCAAAGCCACACACACACACACACACACATCTCCCTTCCTCCCCATCTCCAGTCTCCACTCATGTTAACATCTCCATTAAAAAGCATTAGCGAAAAGATTCTCAGAAGCAGAAACCGAGATCGGAGATCCATCCGTCGTTTGTGGGGGGGTCTCGTCGAGTCACGTGCCGCCGCCAGAAACAGAAGTGCGAAATACAAATGGACTTTGGGTATGATTTATGGATGTCGCCAGAGCCAGAGCCACAGCTACAGCCACATATAAAATATAATTCATTTAAGTCTTTTCTTGCTCGCCTCTCTTGAGGTTGCACGAGTCGAGCAATATTTCCCAGTCAGTAAATCAGTCTCAGAAATCCACTCCATCAAGAGATTTCTTGACATTTATTAAGCGCATTTGTCCAAGCACTTCAAGGCTCAAATCTGTCCCTCGAATTTGGTTAACCAGAGGAAAGGAAAGCCTGGTCGGACAACCATCATTCGAGGGAGCCACGCTCTTGACTGCTAAAGTAACACCGAAGGACCGCTTCACTTCCTGTTCCAGAGAACACTTCCCCTTTTTTTTGGGGGGATGCGAGGGATGAAAAGTCATCAAATCAAAGAGCAAAAAGCAAAACAGGGCAAGGAGAGGGGAGGGGCCCTAATCCCAAAATTTTCCATCTGATTGCAAGGGTGAAAGGAAAACCCACATAAAAATGCCTCTCACGTGACTTATATAAATTAAATGCGTAGCAGGAGAAACGAGGAGGAGGAGGAGGAGGGGAAGGAGGAAAGCTGACACAAAACTGAAAGATACGATAGATGGCTGAATATTCATGCGAATGCCAAAAAGACAGGAGGAAATGTTAGCCGTTATCCCATCCGAGAAGAGGGAGAATACCATTTCCCCACCCAATAATTGACGCAAGTCATGCTGCAGAGGTGGCAGGTGGCAAAAGTCAGGCGTTCCAGGGGTTCAGAGGCCAATGCCAGCCAGCGAGAAAGGGGGAGAGAGCATTTCCAAGAATTTTCGTATCATCTGCTGCTGTGGCAGCTGGAATTTTCCTCACCAGCCAAAAAATAAAATGAAGCAAAAATGTATGAAATATTTACCCGCCCACAAAATCATCAGAAATATTTGCAGGCACTCAATCGATAGACAGAGAGAGAGAGGTCTCCTTTTTCCCCATTCTGCTCTCTTTATCATCTACACCCACGAGGTTTTTCAGGTTTAAAGACATTTCCATTTCGCCTTTGTTTCCATTTCGTAGCGAAAAAGTTCATTCATCCTTTGACCTTCAATGGGACATGCAGGCTCTAAAAACTCTTTGTTT